GAGGGTTGCGATCCGTTGCCGGACACGGAAAAAGACAAAAAAAAAAAAAAAGAAAGAAAAATGGGCAAAAGACAAAAATAATCACCTCAAAAAAGAAGAAATATAAATGGTTAACAAATATTAAAATAATAAACTTCAGAAGTAAAAATTAAAATAACACTTAGAAAATACTGAGGAAACAATAATGTATATTTTGTATACTACTGAGGGTACCATAATTTGGAACAACTTTTATGCAAAGCAATTTGACTCTGTCTATAGCTGCATATTCGTTAATTTAGTAATTCCACTTATGTCAACATGCAGACAAAACATTATGCAAAAAATTCATTGAAGCATTATTTGTAGTAGCAAAAAACCCCCACAAAACTTAAATATCCAACATTAAGAACTCGTTAAGACTACTACCTATAAGGAGAGAAATTGTGCAGTAATTCAAAATGAGGGTTAAAATATTTCCTAATGAAGTAATATAATTAAATAGTACATTATAAGTCAAAACAGGTAAAAATAGTTTACATTATAGTGATTATGTAATGTTATGTTACATATAGTAATATAATGTTATATAATGTATTGCTATATGCTCTCAATTATGTTAAAATATAAATAGAAAAATTTTATAAGGATAAATATAAATAGCACAATGGGTAAATGATAAAATTTCACAACTAAAATTATGGGTTTATGATGCTCTGATTCCAATACATTAAAAGGAAATAGAAAGCTTTTAAGAAAGAGTTTATAATTATATGGTAATGATTATATCTTGTTTGAAAACATTNCCCGTGGCCTTGGTGTTATCAGCACCGCACTCTACCGAGTGAGCCACGGACCGGCCTACACATTTTCTTCTTCATTTTAGTAAATCTATTTCTGTTCTATAGTTGTTCAGTTTAAATCTGTAAAAAAAGCTAGCTTTTTTGCTCCCAAAGTCCCCCCCCTTTTTTTAAGTAACTTTAAGCTTCAATATAAACATGAGTAAATATGAAATAAATGGAAATAAGATTTAGAAACATGGCATTAGCAATTCATTTTGTTACCATCTTTATCAATGTTAGAAGTTTGAACTTCGAGGGCATCTTCTGACTTTTTGTTTTTTTCAGTGTCCTCTAAAGAGGTGTCTCTTTGGGAGGTTTCAGTATTCACTGCAGTGAAAGAATGATATACTTTATCAACTAAACTACTTATACTAGGAAAAGCCTGGTCAACAGCATCAGCAATTTATTTCTTTACCTTCATCGACTGAAGAGAGCAACTCTTCTAAGCTTTTGTTTTCATCCACTGGGAACTCTTCAAACTCCTTTCTTTCATATTGTCTTTGAAGTTCTCTTAAATCTGCCTCAGCTGTAAGATGATAATTGGCTGTGTGAGCAAAAGGCAGCTGGGAATAGGTACAGTGATTAAAAGCCCCTGCTTTAAAATCAGACAGACTCGGGTTTGAGTTCTTCCACTTAAGAGCCATGTGGCTTTGGTAAATCACTTAATCCTCTTTGTCTCAATTTTTGCTTGCCAAAATGAGGATCATTAAACTTAAGCATTGCTGTGAGGATTAGATGATGTAATGGATGTAAATACCAGCTTGGGAAATGGTTGGTGCACAGGAAGCCTGCTCCATGTCAGCTGCCATCCTCTGTATTACTGTACCATTTTTTATGTTAAAAAATCTCAATATTCTCCACTGACAAATTTTTCTTAAAAATATACTGGGGTAAAGTTCAATAGCAAAAAAGAGTTACAGGTTTTTAAATTTTAGGAAGGGTTAATCTATTGCCATATTTAGAATAACCAGTGAATTTGAAAAAAAAAAAAAAAAGGCTTTTAAATCCTTAAACTTTCCATTCTCTAATCACTCAGGAACAACTGGGAAACCTCTCTTACCTTTGCATAAACAACATTTATTGCTATAAATAAAACGCATTTGCAAAAAGAAGAAACGTGACTTTGGGACCACCATGAAGATTTTATGTAAGAAAGTAAGGTTTCAGTGGGAGATGGCAATTTGTGGAAAACTTTAAAATCTGTGACATCGTGCCATAATTTGATGTGAAAGGAATTACTATGGACTGTAAGAAACATTACAGACCACTGTTGTTTCTCCAGGAGCCCGGCCAGCTTCCTCCCTTAACCCAGATCTTGATCAAATGTCCCCTCTTTGGAGAGGTCTTCCCGGGTCATTTCAATACTCCAGCATCCCTGCTCTGATTACTGTCTGTCCCATGACCATGTTATATTTTTTCTTTCTGTTCACTTGGCTTTTTTTTTTTCTCTTCTACTCTCTTTTAAAATGTAAGTACCACAAGGACAGGAACTTCCTGTGTCTTGTTCACCTCTGTATCCCTAGTGCCTGGAATCATGTCTAACACAAAGTAGGTATAGTATTTGTTGAACAAATTAAAGAATTCATTTTGTCCCACATTAAATAGGTTGAATAACAAGCTGTTTTAGTAGCCTGGGTAATTCTCCAGCTTCAGATTGTAAATTGTCTGTGGGTAATTTTTAAATTTAAATTTTCATTTTGAAAATAATATAATAAAAATATAACTCCATTCTAGGTCATCTGGATGAACATTTGGATGGCATGTAATTTCAGTGCTGGTCTTTTTGTAATCTCTTAAGCACCATGTTGGATTCTTTTACTTGCTTATAGGCTAATGGAAAGAAGAGAGGCAGATTTATTAGGCAAATAATGTGCTCTTGTCTAGAAAAAGCTCAACATTCCCATATAGAAAGAGATAATTTTCTTGCTATTTAAATAGTTTCAAGCATAGAAAATGTAGGGAAGCTTCCTAATGTATGTGAAAAGGTAAAAAAAAAAAAAAAAAAAAAAAAAAAAAAAAAAAAAAGCAAAATAAAACATCTGATAGCAAAATCAAATAGAACACCAAAAAGAAATCTATAAACCAATGACACTTATGATTATAAATGTAGGGAAAATGTCCTAAATAAACAGAAAAATACATTATAAGAATAATATACCATGACCAAGTAAGGTTTATTTCAGAAATGCAAGAATGGTTTAATGTTGTAAAATTCATTAGTATAATTGATCAAATCAATAGGCCAAATGATTAAAAACTTTGTGGTGATCTTGAAAGATGCTGAAAAGGCATTTGATAATTTTCGACATCCATTCCAGATAAAGATTCTTAATAACCTTACAGAGAAGCACAAGCAGGAACCCCTTTTAAGAGGCTTACTGTCACTGCCACTATTACACATCATTCTAGAACCGTGAGCCTACATAATTAATCAAGAGAGGAAATAAGCACAAATATTGGAAAAAGAGAAGTTGAAATTATATTTTTTTTTAAAATGATGTGATTGGCTATGTGGAAAACCCAAGAAATCAACTGAAAGTCTGTGAGAACTAGAAAGTAAGTTTAATAAGGTGAATAGTTAACAAATAAATATATAAAAATCAAGCAGCTGTCCAATATACTGGTAATAACTACTTAGAAAATATTGTAGAAAAATGATCCCATTCAATAGTAACAAAATGAAAAAATATCTAGAATAAACTTAACAAAAAAAGTGTAGACAATACATGAAGAAAGCTACAAAATGTTCTGTAAATATACAAAAACTAAACACAGAGATTTCATGTGTCTGCATAAGAAGATTTAATAGTGAAGATGAGAATTCTTGCCAAATTATTATATAATATTAACACAATCCTCCTACTGGAATTTGTTGTAGAACTTGACAAAATTCTACAAGAAATCCAACATCTAGTGCAGTTCCTGGCACACAGTAAGCACAAATTTTACAAAATGAATGAAATAATAACCAGGAAAAAATGTAAACAAAATGTTTTGAAGGGGAATTTATATTACTAGATTTAAAATGCATCATAAAGCTTTGATAATTACATTTTGTATTAAAGATCATAATATAGACAAGGATCAATAGAGTAGAAAGTTCACAAGTTTACACACACACCCCCACACAAACTTGAGATTGAGTTGGCATATTTCAAAACTCCAGTAAGATTATGTACAATGTAGTAATTGTTATTTGTAATACTGGCTTACCACTTAGAAAAAAAATGAATTTAGTTATCTATCTAAACAAAATTTATTACAATGATTGCATCTTAATTAGAAAGAAGCATTATTTTAAAATGAATGAATGTAATTTTGCATATACCATAAAGTCACAATTAATCACTATAAACATGAATTTAAAAAAAATTGAGGGGTGGAAAACACCAAATTCTTAACAGTGGATATCTCTAGAGAGTAAGTATGAGTGAATTTTCTTTCCATCTGCTTTTCCAATTTTCTGTGCTCACTTGAGA